TCAGGATCACAGTAGGAGATATCATTAAGCTGTCAGAATTCACGCCTGCCTCGAAGCAACTCAAGGAGAGAAGACGTGAGGAGAAAATGGCCAAGATGAAGCGTCGGATTGATGAACACAAGCCCAATTTTTTCGTAATAGCTGATCCGCAGCGAAATCGTCAGCGACTGAAAATTTCATTTCGCCCACCGCATGACCATCGCAAAGGGAAGATAAGGAAGGAAAATACAAGTGATGCTCAAGGGACGCGCCGTACCGGCTCCTACCCTGTGAAACGACAAGGAAAGTTCTGGAAGAAGAAACACACGGAAAATTCAAGAAATGGAAGTGCTTCTCCTATGGAAACTGGAGACGATTAGTAACCAATCGCGTATAGTTCTAGAGTCGGGACGACTCTATCGCCCCGCCGGGCATGTTAGCTTTTGATGTTAGCTTTTGATTGTTAATACTTGTTGAGTTGAAGATGTTATAGGTCATATCAATTCGGCGATATGAATTTCGATATCAAATCAGATCAATGATATCAACCAGGCCGTGCCTATATAAGAGCGATACTCAATGAGTGTAGTTCAATTGTTGTTGTGGTTTTGGCTGAGGCCAATAAAACTGCCATCACCGGAGTCAGTTCCCCTCCCAATACACACGAGTCGTGTAACTTACTTATAACTTTCCTGCCGTTTCCCTTTTGCCCCCCCAAACAAAATATTCTCCATTAACCAGAGCTGACGAGTTGTAACCTCAACCAGGATTATTGCTATTAATAAATACTATAATAAAATAATAATAAATATATAAAGATAAAGATATTGGTTTGCTTTCGGAAAGGTTTTCGCCGATTTTGATTCTCACTTCAACAGCGCATATCTCGGTTCAAAAAACATTTGAAATCGAAATAAAGACTATTCCAATTCCTATATCTTTGCCCAAAAGAATAATTTCAAATGGGTCCGAATGTCGGTAGCGCTGGAGTTCTGTAGGCGAACAACTCAGCGAAGGTCCTTCCAAACATAACATTGATTTTCAACGGTTGATCCCTTCGAAAATTCTATCCAGATGGCGGAAAAAGTGCCAGTTCGTAAACACTTTCGCAGCTCAACCTTTTCAACTTGAACACACGCCGAAGTGCGAGAAAGGGCCCTGCGGCAAGCCGTGGAGAGAAAAGGTCGGCCGGCACTAACTGTCGACTTTTGAAAGCCTTCGTTCAGAAGATTGTACATTCGAGAACTTCAGCGCTCAATTATGACTAATTAGGAAGCGACCTGTTCAACAATTCCATGCAAACTTGGCTTGATCAAAACCCTCAACTTTTATTTTTATTATTAATCTTTGTCAGGCTCCGATATCCGACGCGCACCTAACCTTCTTCAAAGCTTTTACCATCGCGAGGAAGACATTTCGAATCACGACTGCACACCGAATTTTTTGTGGAATTGGTACCAAATGCTCAAATAATATCGCGACTTCCTTCCGCACATTTCCGACCTATTGATGGAAAGCAAGAAACTCGTGCAAAAGAGCCTGTTTGAGTTTATTGCATCCGAGACTTCAAAATTAGAAAAGCGCATTCAGGGTTAAAGAACAGAAGGATTTGACACGACGAGAAACGCGCTTTCTAATGGATGTATGAAGTTGGTACGGCAGTTTCTTGAAATTTGGTCGAAAATGAAGCGTTTAAAAAAGAGCAACTTGAAAACCCCAAGAAATTTCCAAACAACCCAATAATATTCCAAAAACGAAAGATTACCACCGCGCGCCAGCATGCAAGTGGTGAGCAGAGTCAACTATCCCCCCACCCCCCCCCCCCAAGTTACACCAATATATCTACGGTTAAGCATTCTTCGAAAGAGCGCCCGCGTGGTACAGGAAGAAGATGTAGATGGGGAGAATGAGGAGAACGAGTCGAAATGTGTCGATGGAAGGCCTTGCCTAGTGGAAAGACAGACGAACTCTCTAACGATAAGGGTGCGGACCGATACGCAATTCGCAGCAAAGGATATCCCCCGGCGATATAGTACGACTGTCTCGCGTCGTATCACTTGCCGTCCCCACCAAGAGAATGTATGTAGCCCTCGCCGGCAGGCTTTCGCCGTTAAGCTGAGAGCGCTAGCGTATGAGAAAAGGTCAGCACCGACACACACCATCAATGAGAACTAAACGAGAAGGTCCCATTTCCGATTTCTGGACCGTCCTTCTCGCACCTGGCACCCTCTACAGAATTCTTGTTGGGCTGCCTTTTTAATCTGAACTCATTGCCTTCATCATGGAACTTGTAATAGTCTCGGCAATTCCTCGTAAGTGAAGGTTGACTCTGGTCACCGCACAAAGAAAAAAACGCCAAATCCGTTCAAGCCCAGAGTAAATTGGTGGGTAACAGCGGTCGATAATCAATCGTGGATGCACAGCTGACTGAAAATTAAAAAAAGGGATTAGGGGTGAGTGATGAGGTAATCCAAGTAAGCGAGCCACTAGAGTACTGAGACTGGCGATAAGGTTGGGAAGACAGAGGGACTCTGAAAGGATGCGAGCAAATTCCTTACTCCCTGGCGTTTCTCTCCTCTCCTAGATTTACCATTAGCCTTAGTTCCGGCGTTCTCGGAGATTACTCTGTTGGATGTCCTGAGCCCCTGGAAGCAAGGACTCCTCTCCTGAATTGAATAAGGGAAGGGCGTATTTGAAAGCAGTTCTCCCGGACGCGGTGTGCCGAGCGTGTCGTGGACCCTACCCCGGCGTATTCAATCCGGCTACCGTTAAAACTACTTCGGTCTGCGAGAGGTGTGCGCGAGGCTGGGCTCGTCCATTAGCTCGCGCAGTAGCTGTTAGTAGGCGCGAGTGTGTGTAAGCTATAATGTACAGGGTGGTCCAAAATTATGAGGACCGCGTGCGCGCGCGGTCATATCCACTTTTTTCCGAGTCGCTCCATTTTCATTTCCTTTTCTGTGCACCATGTGATAGGGTACAGTGTATTCTTCCTTTCGAAACTAAACTTCATGCAGTTCTCAAAACTAGTGAAAGAGCAACACCTCCTTATGTCATTCCTCAAATTGAACTCACTAAGGGCTCTGGCACGTTACATCTAGCGGCAGTCTAACGTATCAGGAAAGCTCATGTGGGCAACAGTTCAACTCTTCAATAAGTTTGGAACCACCACAGATGGAAAATTCAGTGACTCGAAAACTTACAGCTACTACCAGGACAATTATCAGATGCAGAAACTTGCTCTCCCCTTGTCAACTTTCGTACTCCCAAAATGAAAAAATCGATGTGAAAACCCAGCCAGGCACTCTAAAGACTCCACATCTATAGTGGATAGAAGGCCACTCCATACTTGGGATGTTTTACTGGACCGAGCACCCTAAGAATAGAGCAAAAATTCTCTAAAAAGCTATTTTTCGAGTTTGTTGCTCTTGAAGAATTGTTACAATGGAACCCTCCACCTAACAGCTCTAGAATTCTGTATTTTACACCCTGGAGACATGGGTAAATGAATGCCCCACAAAACGTTGATCCCCTGAAGAAAGCAGAGCAGAAGGCCTGGAAACATTTTGACACGCCTCAGTTGCGTGCCACCGCACGCGCCACCCCCTTCGTCTGAAGGCTCGTGTAAACGCGGCAGGTGGCAGATCTCAATTCTATTCTGGAATTACTTTGAGATACTAGTTGCAAACACTTCCCTGTAGTTTGTTTGATCCATCAAACTACTATGCGTTTTTAACGACACAAATGTCTTGGTCCTCATAATTTTGGACCACCTCCTGTAAAAAAGATACATGGAATGGAGAAGAAATTCAGCAGAACAATATTGCATCAGTGGCAGCAAAGAGTGAGAAAAAGGGATCGCAGCGGAGCTGTGAATGAGGCGAAACTCAAAAGATTTTTCAGAAGACATATATGATACCAATACTTAACCATCAATTAAAATAATTCAAATTCAAACCTGCACACTTCCTGGAAACCAGTTGACATGAACATGCTGCTAAACATGCTCTCTTCTGGCACAAACCCAGTCATTGCAATGACATCTCCGAGGAAGAACCGTTCCACATTGTATAGACGGGATGGTACTAAATGATAGTCATCAGTAAGCATTAAGCAGCACGAAACTCTCGCATACGGTCAACCTTGTTCCTGTTTGATATAACTTTACATGAATAAGCGTTCTACAAAGGTAGAACATGAGACATGAAGGAGCGCGAATAGGACGCGATCCTTATTCGCTAGCGTTCAAGCGTGCTGCAATCATCGCTAGCGAAGAAACTTACGCGTGTCTGCCTCTTGCACGTTCGTTCTACTACTTTACATTATATTAGAGATTGTTTAGAGGAGCATCACGGGTGGAGTAGAGCCTGACACTGATGCAGTATTTTCCAGTGCAGTTACAGCTTTGGAGTCGCGGTCACGGCGAGATAGCACCCGGTTCTTGGACTGGAAAATCTAGACCAACAGCTGGCTCGCCTGATGGCCGTCAACCACGTCCAGAAACCCCCTCGCTGGGTTGAAAACTTGCGATGCCCAGAAGTTGTAGAAATGCTTGCACAAAACGGCACGGCACCCGGGAAAGATTAGTTGGATGACATGGGCTCTGGTAGAGGGACAAGGGCGAGCTACCTTGGGTAAGAGGGTCAGCAGAGCACCTCTGCAAGGACCATAACAAAAAGAAACATGGCAATAAGTTTATAACAAAAAATTAGTAAAAATAGATGGTAACAACTTACTATCGACGTGTTTCACCTCCACTTTTTCGCCAAAATATTTGGTGAAAAGCTTCAGATTCCCCTCCATGGTAGCCGACATCAATATCACCTAAACATTTCAGCATAAAGGGTAAGCTAGTGGAAATAGTTCAAAGGGTCAAACACCAAGGCCTCTAGAAAATAGCCTCGATTATCTTGTACAAGGAAAACATATAACAATGAGCTTTTTTTTTAATATTCCGACTGAAAAAAACTAAAGCAACTAATAAACACATATAGTAGGATAAATTGTGGGCTGTTGAATTTCACCTTCAAATCGTTCCGCTTTTTCAAGGCCTGTTTCAGCGCTATCAACAAGTAATCGGTATTTTGTTCCCGCTCATGTATCTCATCCTGAAAATAATTACAATAATTTTTAAAAATGAATCTGACGCGTAAATTTTCCATTAAGAAGCGCACATATTTTATTTGAGAAAAGGGAGCAGTAGGTGCGATGGCGTAAGGCCAACTGGAAGCTAACTGCGCAACACTGTCAACATCACTTAATCCAAAGTACCGACAAAGAAGGTACAAAAAACTTCGCGATAGTAATAGCATGCATCGTACATCGCTAGCCAGGTAGTCGAACAACCTTGTAAAAAAGAAAATTTTTGAACAAGCATAAAGGATAATGAACCAGTGATTACACAAATTCGTATACAATCATTGCTGGAATCTTCGCCTCCCCCCCCATTTACATTTCCTCCATTTTCGTAGTGACCGAGGCAGGCGCTAAAAGTTACATACTCTTGCACTCTCATACCCATCGAAAAATTCGCGCATTTGAATATCATATCCGTTGCAATACCCCACTTCATCATAAAAGAACGATAAAAGAGAGGAAGGAAAAATATTATACAAACGCGCCGCGTTTTCGAACATCTTTGTCACCGTGTAAATGCGCGTATACCTCACCGACATATATCCCATCGGGTTGACAACAATGAACGCTTCTCATGGCAAAAGGCTCCAAAGCATTTCAAGGAAATGGCGAAAACGGTAACTCACCAGAATGATGTGGGATATATCACGCGCTGCATCATCTTGCGTTAGCATTCTCAGCAGAACACCACTTGTACAGTACGTGAGGACAGTTTGAGGCGAAGTTCTAAAAACTTGGACGCTTCTAACAATAAAACAAAAATAGAATCGAAGGCACCTCCAAAGAATCAAACGGAAAGAAGCGCGAATGCCAGGATTCAAAATGGTATCGAAATGTCCTGTATGTAAATAAAAGCAAACCTCTGCTCTAGGCGAATGTGATAGCCGACAGTGGAACCAAGGCTTTCTCCACGCTCTCTAGCAACACGATTTGCCACAGCGATTGCTGGTAGCCGACGCGGTTGAGTACATACAATTCGCAGTGGCTGATTATTCTCCGATGCATGCTCCAGCAAGAATTGTGGCACCTGAACCTTTTGTTTAAAAGAACACAACCAAAATGAAACGAGATCAGCACGCTACTTCTTTCAAAGGAACGGAGGGACTACTGAGATAGGCCATTCTTATTCATTTTCCCATATTTCCACAAATATACAGGACGTAAAAGTAGGTCACAAGCCGGAAAGATGCGACGCACTTTGGTTGCAGGCCAGAAATGCCACGAATAATAAAATCCTGGACATTTTTCGAGACCTATTCCGCCCACCATAGGTCATTTGAGTTGGGAATAAGCACGCATAGAACATAGAAAAAAGCGGTAACGATGAATATCAGACCTGCGTTGTCTTTCCACAACCAGTGCCACCCGTGATCAACACAACTTTGTGATCATTGATAGCACGAAGTACATCTTCTCGCTGCCGATATGCCGGAAGCATCTTCCTGTAAAAACCGCTTAAGATGTCACCACTTTGAGGAAGCGAAGACAGAAAAAGGCATTCTGTAAACAAGACAAACAAAAAAACTGGGTTTTATAATTGCCTCGCTACAACATTTGTGACATAAAAGGAAGTCATAAAAGCAGAAAATTAGCATACCGTTGTTGCTGCATTTCCGTGCTACTATTGCTGCGTTGTGGTACAAGCATTTCGGGCCGCTCCCGGTTGCCCATGTCTCGTTGAGAACGATCTCGAGCTGGAACCAGAGACATTTTCTAATACTGATAATTACTAATTGTGTTGAGAAAATATTCACCTTTGGGTGCTATGACATGTCGTTCTATGGCGGATCCATATATGGGATAATGAGAAATGAAATTCGACAACTAAAAATAACCCAGTTGAATGAGAATCAGGTTTATCAATATTTGTAGTTTTCGCTATATTTGGAATTCAAAGATTTATAAGATTCACATTATATATCATCTTATTATCGAAAT